ATTTAATATATAATTTATCCAGTTGCATCAGAATTAGGATTTGGGCCAAACAATTCAGTCTTGACAATGAATTGTTCTAGCAGACATGGTGCATATATAAGAGGCAGATCTGAAATAGAATCCTGTCATAGCCCTATAGATGGTGATACACAAATCAATTTTTCCCAAGCCAGAATTCCACAGATATGATGGATTACGAATTCCATACTTATTAGCGTCATATTTGTTGGAAATGATATTTGGGAAGATGTAGGGTCAGATTACTCGAGCTGAGCTCAACTCCTGCTGAGTACATAGGTACAACCACGCCGTTTTCTTGACAACAATATGGATGTGATTTGTTATTGTGTTTTCCTAGCAAGAATGCTATAATTTAAGCTTTTCTGGTCCATTATGATTTCAGGACCAGCTGTTGCACTTAGAAAGGTGGATAAAAATATAAGGATCAGTTAATATAATTATTTTATTTAAGGACTAGTATAGTAACCATTTGTTTTGATTTCATTGTAAAACAGTGGTCTCAGTCAGAGATGAATTCAATTAAAAATAAATTCCAGTCCTCAACACAGTTTATTCTCTTCTTTAACTGAGAGTATATAAAAATGAATGCGGTGAGATCACCAACATGGAGGTCTTTTTTCAAATGCACAGCATTCTTACAGGAAACTAAATTCCTGGACAAAAAAATAAAATAAAATAGAGGTACTTCTCAGAATCAGAATAGAGCTGGAAGGGACCTTGGAGGTCTTCTAGTCTAGCCCCCATTCTCAATTTACAATTGAGCCCCAAATTTCCATTGCTAAGCAGGGCAGTTGTTAAAGCGAATTTTGCCCCATGTTATAACCTTTTTTTTTTACCACAGTTAAATGAATCATTGTAGTTATTAAGCTAATCTGACTTTCCCCATTGACCGCTTGTAAGAAGCCAGCTGGGAAGGTTACAAATGGTGACCTCCGGGACAGTGCAACTGTCATAAACACATGCCAGGTGCCAAGAACTTGATAATTGATCTTGTGACCAAGGGGATGCTGCGACAGTCATATAAAAACCCATCCAAAGTCACTTTTTTCAGTGCCATTGTAACTTCAAAAGTCACTAACCAAATGCCTGTAACTTGAACACTACCTGTATTGTAGATTCATCATCGTCCTGAGTACAAAGCTCACTTTTTGTGCAAACATGCACCTAAACACTGATTGTGTATTGTGATTTGACTTTGGAAAGGAGTCATTTCCATAGAAAGTACTAACGTAAGAAATTAAATCCCATCCCCATCTGCCATTCCTGCAACTTCCTCTCCTCCAAACTACTTGCCTTTATGCAGAATTCCAGATGTGTTTGTATCTTTGTAAAGATATTTTACAGTGAATGTACAAAGAAGGAGGGTACAGTACAGATAGTACACACTGCTTCCCAAACCCCCTACCCTGTTTGCTGAAAATTCCCTTTCAAAGTTGGTTTAAACACAGGTGCCGGTGTGTGCATTTGCTCATTGTATTATATGTTTTTTTTTAGTTCTGATCAGCCTTGATCTTTCTTCCAAACTGGCAAAAGAAAAGCAAATTTTGAAATAATTTCTTACAGTAGACAATCAGAGGAAGCTCTGACCAGATGTCTGCTAATCGGTAAAGCAGAAATGGGGCTACCGTGCCCCCTATATCACACATTCCTGAACATAGTGAAACACCAAAATTTCTGTAAGGAAAAGAAAAGAAAACATCTTACTTATCATGTATAGTTTTGAGTTTCAGATGAACATATTTACTCCTTTTCACCATATACAAGGAATTTTCCCATAGGTGTGCAAGGTGTCTATCACGGTATGTGATCCTTTGCTTGCTACCTACTTGTCTTTGACTCAACTGTGGTATATCCAGAAGACTAGGAAAGATTAGCTTTTCATTTGAAAAACAGAAGCTCTTGAGCTCTTATTGGTGGCTCATAATCCCACTGATGAGCACTTTGTCTTATTCCATCTCCTGGCTGTAGGTTCGAAAGCAACCATTAATCCCTCCTTCTCTCAGGGCTTCAGCATCTTCTCTTAATGTCTGGTTGTAGGCAATCTTTAGAAAAATATCTTCCCCTCAACCCACTCCATCCTCCATAGCAGCATGCAAGCATGGGTGTAGGTACTGTATCAGGAAAAGTACTTAGCTGCAAAAATCTGATACCTCATAAAAGGTTTTTCAGTGCAAAAGAAGGAAGCTGGTTTTTCATTCAGGACATGTTCGGTCAAAACAACCACTTGAAATATTTTGCAAATAACCATTCAACTACATTGAACATTTGGAATGGAGGAAAGAATGGATTGGAGGGGAGAATTATCTGTGTTTGTGTTTGTGTTTGTGAAGTGTCCAAAGTTACATTGTATAAGATAGGCAGCTTTATAAATCTTTAAAACAAATGGAATTAAAACAAAAAGGAAGGGAAGGGAAGGGAAGGGAAGGGAAGGAGGGAGGGAGGAAGCGAGGAAGCGAAGGAAGGAAGAAGGGATGGAGGGGTGGAAGGAAGGAAGGAAGGAAGGAAGGAAGGAAGGAAGGAAAGGAAGGAAAGAAGGAAGGAAGGAAGGAAGGAAGGAAGGAAGGAAGGAAGGAAGGAAGGAAAGCTCCTCCGAGGGGAAATGCAAATTTCTCTTGCTGCTAGAGCACTTGAAGGCTGGATCTGAATAAGGAAGACCTCCTACAAATGGCAAAACAGAGGCCACTAAAAAGCTCTAGAAAACTGTGGTATTTTCAAGAAAAGACCAATTTTGCCACAAAGTTTAATACACACCATTACAAATAGTGGATTACAAACACTTTCACATAAACCTTTGTATGGAAGTGTCCAAACATTCAGAACTGGAGGGAATCAGACACTTTCCAGATAAGTTTCATTAAATGTCTTAATTTGTAAGAACTAGAAATTTATATTTAAGTGTCATTAGTTAATCAATACTGGATTGGCCTTTTACATTGCTTGGTGAAACATAATGACATTAAAGTAGGAAAATATTTTCCCCACTTCTGGAAAAGTGATAAAAAGGCTGAGAAATAAGCCTATCTCTTAAGGAAAATTTGTTTTGATGTAGGGGATGTTGTAAGCTGATTCAAATAGAGTATTGGCAGTTGCATATAGCTCATGACCTGTGAATTGCCTCTTCTCCAGAGCCCCAATCTTTCATACATTTATTGATGACTACATCATATTGAATACAATAGGGTTCACTTCTCAATATGTATAGATGTTAGGATTGCCCTGCAACTCTATGAGCCACTTTCTTGTTAAATATTATTTCTTACTTTTAAAATGCCTTTGGAGAAAAAGCTGATTTTTTTTCCTGTGATCTTGTGAAAATTGCTCAACGTGTAGATTCCACTTACCTGAAAACTGTAGGATACAGTTCACTATTCACGAGATACACAAGTTCAAAAGTGATGGTGATCCCCAATCTTGCCAAGATGGCTACTGCTGTACTTAACCATGGTATATCTGTTGAGATACACAGTATGCAGAAAGGAAATGTTTAAAAAATTCACTTAACTTGGGACGCAGGCATCAAGATCCTATACCTTAACTGATTTTATTATCTTGGTGTCTGACAATTGTTATTCTGGGTGGATTACAAATTTAAAAAAAACCCAGTACATATAAAAGAGAGAGATTAGCCAGAACAATACAATCAGCTACAAAGCCAGATTTAAGTACAGGGGATTCCAATTACCACCTTATCTTAAGGCAAGGGTCTTCAAACTTGGCCCTTTTATGACTTGTGGACTTCAACTCCCAGAATTCCTCAGCCAGTGTGCCTGGCTGAGAAATTCTGGGAGTTGAAGTCCACAAGTCATAAAAGGGCCAAGTTTGAAGACCCCTATCTTAAGGCCTGAGAAAATAGCCCAGTTTTTAGTGATTTTAATGATACAGACTGACCTTCAGAGTGCCAATGACCAGATGATTGCTAAGGAATATAAATCCTTCCATTCGCCACCATTCAGCCAGAAGAAGCTTCTTGAATGAGAAGCAAAATGTTTTCAAAGGAAAAAAAACAAGAAAGTCCAGGTGATTTTTGAAAAGCACCTCTGGGACACTTCTATTTCTTTTCTTTTTTTAAAAAAAATTATTTATGCAATTCATCTAGTGCCTTTAATCCTCACAATCTCTATGTGGCAAGCTTTATTAACAAAGAATTTGCATGAGGGTTAGTGTTCATAGTAGAAATATTCTGAAACAGAAACACTGTTCAAGAATGCTTCAGAAGTTTAGATTTATCTTTAAGATCACAGGTATACAGTGGACCTTGACTTATGAATGTTTGTTTAATGATGGGAAAAGTGACTTACAACCCACCCTTATACTTGTCACTGTCGCACCACCCACCACCACCCCGATCACATAATTGCAATTCAGGATCTTGGCAACTGTCTCATATTTATGATGGTTGCAGCATCTGCAAGGGGCTGCCACCAGTGGTGGAATTCAGCCAGTTCACACCACTTAGGCAGAACCGGTAGCTAATTTTTTGTTGCCCAGGCCCAGAATGGGCTTCTGGAAGTGGCATCCACACAGAGAACTGGTTGTTCACATATTTGAATCCCACCACTGGCTCCACAAAGAAGAGGGAGTCAATCTACTGTACAAAACACCTGAAGGCAGAACAGAAGCAATGGTTGGAAACTAATCAAAGAGTTAGAACCAATGTAGAACTAAGGGAAAATTTCCTAACAATGAGAACAATTATCCAGTGGAACAGCTCTCCTTCAGAAATTGTGGGTGCTCCATCACTGGAGGCTTTTAAGAAGAAACTGGACAGCCACTTGTCTGGAATGGTATAGGATCTCCTGCTTGGGCAGGGGGCTGGACTAGAAGACCTCCAAGGTCTCTTCCAACTCTGTGGTTCTGTTATTCTGTTAGCTTGCAGTCATGTGATCATGATTTGAGAACATCCAAGCTAGCATCTGACCAACAAAGTCAATTGGGAAATCTGAATTCATTTAATGACTGTGTGAGTCATTTAATAACAGTGATAAAAATGGTCAAAAAATTGGGTCCTGTCATAGGATGACTTGGTTCACAACCACACTAACTTATAATGGAAATTCCAGTCACAATTGTGGTCAAAAGTTGAGGATCACCTGTATTCACATAATATTTCCAAATATACATGAATAAATATAAGCTTTATTCCAATGAAGCCATCACAGTATGTTAATACAATAAATATATGAACCTTCACCTGCCCTCTTAAAATCTTGATGCAAATCATTTTTAGCTGAAAGGAATAACTTTTACCATCCACATGACAGAAAGAAACATCAAATGAATCTTTTTTTCCCCCTTGTAATTGCAGCTTAAAAGACTGCAGTGTTTGAAAAAAGGGGGGAGAAAATATAACCGTAAATTGCTCATTTTGGGTGGAGGAGAAGAATACTGGTCCTGCTGAAATTTACTTTTCCATAACTATGTATTGTTATCCTGTTAAGGATCCTCGTTCTTGCTGCAAATAGCATTATTGTTAAAATGCGTAAACTCTCAGGTTTGCCCCAAAGGGAACTGATAAGCTTTACTAAAAATATAGAAGAATTCTTTTGTTTTTTGTTTTTTCTTTTTCCCTTGAGTTCTAGTCTTTGTTTTCATAGGGCAGTGGTGGCGAACCTATGGCACGGGTGCCAGAGGCGGCACTCAGAGCCCTCTCTATGGGCACACGCGCCATCGCCCCAGTCCTAGGCCGTCAGCTGGGTTTTATAAAACCTTTTCGCTTTAGGCCTCCGCCGCCGTGTACAAAAAAAAAGGTTCAATCAATCAGTCAATTTCAACTTCTCACGGAAAAAAAAGATCTTGCAAAGTTGGAATTGATTGATTGAACTTTTTAGTCCCACCCGGTCTGCTGTTACCACCGCAGCCACGCCCACCCAATAGGCCACACCCACCCAATGGGCCACATCCACCCGGCACCCGACAATGCATAAGTGGGTTTTGGGTCTCTAAAAGGTTTGCCATCACTGTCATAGGGCCCATTATTTCCAGATTGCATTAAGGGATAGATCCAAATCACTCCGCTTGTACTGTTGATTTTACTGCAGCAGATGGCAGCACTGAGCCACCTGCAGTTGATCTGGGGCTGTTGGTTTGACTGAGAATGAGAGAGGAAAAAAGAAATAACAGTATTGCAAAAAGACAGTAGCAAGCCACTTCCATAATGCTGCCAAGGAAATCCGCAGGAGTTAAGCTTCACTCAAGCGTATTGCCCAGCAACTGTTGCTTTTGGATTTAATCAACAGGTCTCTGGAAGTATTTGAAACTTTTTGTCATTGCAGACAAAAAGAGACATAGGCTGTTTTGCCCTTGGCATCCTCTCTATTCCCTCAACTGTACTTAAAAATGATAATGGATCTCTCTTGAATGATCACAGAAACATCAATGAATATAATTTAGCCTATCCATTATAGTTAATTTGGATGCAGCCTGATAATGTCATGTGGCAATCCTCACCATTAGGTAATTATGGGATTAGGGTGTGATCATGGACACGGTGTGTCTGATTGCGGAATTGGAAAGCAATGCCCCCTTTTGCCCAATGGAGAAAGTCTAAAGTCTTTTTTTAAAAAAACTGATAAGATGAATTATTTGCCAATGGTGCCCAAGCATCTCATTAAAAGGGGCAGAATGGAAAAACTTGCCTAACGTCTAGTGTATTGTGAGGTCAGCAAATAAAAATCCAGGAAAAAAAATCTTAGTTTTTCTATCCTTTGCCAATTATTGATCTCAAATCTTTGCAGTGCAATGATTATATGGCTTGGACTCCGGAGCTGCAGGCGACGGTCGACAGATGTGTGCGATGTACTTGTTTTCCCAAGGAGAAAACAGGACCCATGATCCCTTTTAATTAAATTGATCTTATAGAAAAAACAAAGCCCTTTCAATATTCCAGCAAAGAGAATATTTGTTCCAATCTTACTGGATTGCATCAGTTTTTTTTATTCTTTCATGGGAAGAGAAATAACCAATGAATGGAATGTATTTGTAAGGTGTATTCTTGCCCCCACCCCCACTATCTGGTGTCTAAGGCAGGGTTTTTCAACCTTTTCACCCATTGTACCACTTTTAGGAGATGGCAAAATGAGAAGCTTTTTACCCTCTAACAGAGGGGTAGTCAACCTTGCCTCTTTTATGACTCGTGGACTTCAACTCCCAGAATTCCTGAGCCAGCTAAGCTGGCTCAGGAATTCTGGGAATTGAAGTCCACGAGTCATAAAAGAGCCAAGGTTGACTACCCCTGCTCTAACACAACTACGTTATACGTGTGTAAATTTCCTTAGTGAAATTTATTTCAGAAGATATTCACAATGTGCTCCAAAAAAAATCCCCTGCATGCCCCCATCCTCAATATCTCTTGTTCTTTGTGGACTTTGCTTAAAGTTTAAGGACCCTTCTGGCCTAAAGGTTGAGAGGGATCATAATTATAATTAATCAAAGAGATATTTCTCAGGCTCCTTTAGAAGGCTCCTTTTAGCTCTGCAAGTTCATATCCCATTCATGACTCCAATGATCCCTTTTCTCTCTGTAGTTCAAGGCAGATCTATCTAGAACAGGCTCTAGATACTCTGATCAGGATGACACGTTGATGCCGAATCACCTGATAAGTGTTCTCAGAAGCCCGAGTTGAGAACTCAGATTATAAATGACGGGCAAATCACATCCTTCTTTGCTTACACAGCTTCCGTGCTTAGATAAATAGCGAATTAATGAAAGCTGACTAATAATTCTGAAGCAAAAGTCTTGGGAAACTGTGAGAAACTTGGGAAACAAGCCCAGTGGCCTTCATTGATTTCTCATTATTTTATATTACAGAGTTTCACAATACTATTGTCACTTAAACATATACTCTTGTTATCGATCATATAACAAATAAGAATCAGGCACTGTTGGAAACTATGGCGTTTCTACTTGTTGGTTTTGGATCATTCCACAATACCCCTAAGGTGTTTTGAAGTTAGCCTCCATCTGTTTTCCATTTGCTCAGCAAACAACCCTCTATATCAGGGGTAGTCAACCTTGGCTCTTTTATGATTCGTGGACTTCAACTCCCAGAATTCCTGAGCCAGCTAAGCTGGCTCAGGAATTCTGGGAATTGAAGTCCACGAGTCATAAAAGAGCCAAGGTTGACTACCAATAGGTAACTCCAATATGGTTGACTACCAATAGGTAACTCCAATAGGTAACTCCAATATGAGTCACAAAGTGCAAAAGGCGAGCTTTACACCACAGACAATCTGGAAGAAAATCAACTGAGCTGCTCAAGGAGGACAAATAACAGGAATCCCCCAATATGGCCTCCAGGCTAGATTGGTATCAACCCCGGGTGGGAAAGAGCCTTGTGTGTTACCGCTGAATGCTGCCACCTCTTGTATTATTTTCCATCATGTTCCAAAAAGCAGTGCGTTTCTTTTGAAAGAGTATCGCACAGTCTTATTTCACCCAACTGAAATATTTGAACCTGTTTTTAAAAAGCACTTTTGTACGTAAACTGAGTGCTTTGAGAGACAAGTGAGATAACAAAGGGAAAAGAAAAAGAAAAATGAAGCCATCTAGTTACCTTTTGGTAAAAATGCTGTGATTAAGCAGGCGGCCCCTGCCACGAGGGTTCCTGAGGCAAACAGAGGACGCCGGCCAAGTCGGTCAATGGTCGCTAAGATTAACAAAGCCGAAGGCAACTCTATCACCGCAGAGATGAAGAACTCCAAATACAGATTCCCTTGTATGAGTCCCAGGCGCAACACAAGCCCTTGGTAAACTACTGCGCTGGTGAACCTTGAAGAGCAAGACAAAACAAGAAACAGTGGGGCTTCCAGGATTGCCTGGGAAATATCAAACATGACAGGCAAAGCTGCAGTGCATCTGCGAGATACCTACCAGGCATACATGAGAATCAAAGTGAATTTTCTCATCTGCGGAGTTCTAACCAGATCAAACAAAGAGGGGTTGCTCACCTCTTCATCAGAGACCTTGATCTAAGAAGTAAGAGAGGCAGAGTTCATATTCCCAATAACAGCAAAGAAATAGTTTTGGGGGGAAAAGTGTTCTAGTTTTGAAATGCACTAGTTTTAATTTTAAAAACAAAAGGCAAGTTGGCAAGAGGGATGATGAAAGAGTTGTTAATAAGCCAACACATTTCATCTTAATATTTTTTCATTTTTTTCCTTGCCATGGTATATGTGTCTTCCCTAAACTACATGGCTGCATCCCTGTGAACAGAGTACAGTTGGATATACCCCCACAAATGTTCAATCTACTCTACTCTACTCTACTCTACTCTACTCTACTCTACTCTACTCTATTCTACTCTACTCTACTCTACTCTACTCCATTCCACTCCACCCCACCCCACCCCACTCCACCCCACCCCACCCCACCCTACCCCACCTATTATTTATTAAATGTATATGCCATCCATCTCACTACCCAAAGTGACTCTTATTTTTAGCTTAGAGTTAACAATTACCAGGTTGGAATGAACTTTACTTAATACTTAAGTTTGTAGAACAGACTGAACACAAACTAACCAGCTACATTTTATACTTTTTATTGTTTACACAATTCTTAACATTGTGGTGAATTTGATAAATCTTAAAGATGAGGGGGAAAAGTTTGTATCAAGGTTAAATATGGCTTTTAAAATGTCATGAACACACAGTTGCTTAAACTGTACAAATGCTAAGCCCGACATTGATGAATGCCCTGAATTATTTTATAATATGAGAAAAGTTTTGATCTTTGATCTTAATACTAAAGTATTCACTGAACTTTTGGGACACCTACCGTCTTGCCTATTGAATAGTCTATTCTGATAGAGCAGCAGCAAAGTACATCTAATCAGCTCTTTAGAGAGAGAATTGCAAAATGGTGGTATAGGAGTCTTATCAGGGACCAGAGAATGGACACACCTGCATGAGATGGCCCACAGCACCAGCCCAATTCCACTTACTACTTGTCAACTGGCACAATGGGTAGGAAAGAAAATTCAGTTATGTATTTTCTTATTGATGCTTGATACTGTTGGCATAAAGAGAAAAGCAATACTGGTACAGCCAAAATAACTTATGACTATCTCATTCATGGACAGAGAACAAGCTGAAAATGGAGTCATGGGAGCATGGAAGAAAATATATATTATCAGGGCATCTTGGCATCCTTTATCCAAGGAGGGAAAGGGTTTTCAAATCATTTTTTTCCCAAAAGAAATGCACCAACTTATTTCTACCAATGATAGGGTGTTAAATAGCATAATCCTTTTCTGTTGTTATACTGTTACAAGCCTAGTACTAGAATGTGTTTGCTACACTTAGTTGTTGGCATGTAATTGTCTCCCCAGCCTCAACCTTCCTTTGGAAATTGGAGCTACAAAAGTTAGGGAGAAACTCCACTGAGAGTACAGAATGTAAAATGCATTTGATGTTCCCATCATAGTACTTCCGGAAACAGCGTGCTCTTTGCTGGGCACAGAGTCAAGAATTACTAGATTTGTGTATCCAAAAGGACTTTGGAAAAGAGCCAAAGTGCACTTTAGATATGTAGATATGATTGAAAACTAGCCAGGTGCAGCTGTCAATAAATTATGATTGTGGCTGAGAACACTAGCTCGAAACTTTAGACTAAAATTTTTGAAATGACGCAGGAAAAGTACCGTAATACAATCTGGAAGCCAAGGTTAAAGTTCTAAAAATATTGTGGTTGAACAAACTGAATTTAATATAAACTGATTGATGCCCTCCACAGCATCAATTTTTGATCATTATTTTTAATCTGACCTTATATATAAATATACTTAATTATGCACAATGCTTTTATAACATTTATGTCGAAAGAGACTCTTTCATGTAGTCTATTCAAGTGTTATGAAAAGTTGGAAAATCTCTTTATAAATGATTTATGAAGTTTTAGTACATTCTTCTTGGAAATGTGGGATGGAACATAATTTTGCTGTTTTAAGAGACTGCAAAAATAGCCAACTTTCCATTCCATTTCTCTTTCAAAAAAAATTAGTTTAGTTTACTAACAACATTTTCCAAGCAAAGAATTAAGTGCACTGTACAATATAAACTAAGATATAATGACAAATAATGCAGGCTCATAAACCCTCTCCTTTTGAAATATTATATACTGTTAGGAATGGGGGAAATCCAAAATTTAATTTGATGGTGGCTTGCTCAAACTATACCATAAACGTCTAACTATAGGAGTTATGTTGTCTAAAACAATGTTTTCCATAAAAAGCAACAACAGAATTTTAAATCCTTGCACCTTCTTCTCTGAAAACAGACAAGTTCCATTTCTTTGGAAGAGGATTCACTCTAATTACCTATGTTCTGCTGAAAAGTTTAACAAATCCTTCAAGTTCTGGCCAATGACGTCCACGTTAGTAAAAACAGAAGTAGTTGTTGGAAAGACCCCTATCATATTAATCCTTTCATCTTGCAGTGGACCGAATGAAACTGACTTCCTGAAGTCAAGATTGAGAATTATGTGTTTCTCTGCGTCTCTCTTTGTGTCTCTGTGTATGTGTGTGTGTGTGAAAAATCCATCTCACTGAGAAAATCCATCATGAAAGAAAGAGAACTATTGAGAGTAATCTTATTAATTTGCAACTGTAGAATGGTTAAGCTGTGTATAGAAAACACACGAGGACATAACCAGAAGAGTAAGAAGAAATTGCTGTGGGGCTCTGTTAATAAACATGTGCTTTGGTTAGAGGCAAGGGACAGAGGAAGGGAATCAAAACACTGCTACAAGTGGCATTCAGTTTGCTTTCTCATTTGAACTGGAATCTAGGAGAAATGGGAGGCAGCTCAAAGCCACGAAAAAACTGAAGGGGGTGGGGTGGGGAGTTTTCCCTAAATGCTAGGGGATGTTAACACTTCAAAGAAATTTGATGGCTGCTAGCATCACATACACATGTGACCTACAAGCCATTCTTGCTTTGACTACAGGACTTCTGTGCTGAGGGGATGCTATGCTTTGAAACCCTGCAGGGCTCAGCCTGTGAGTTTATATGAAGACTTGTCTAAATAAATGGCAAGAGATATTTTTACAGAATACTTTCGTTAAGATACAGCGGTAAAAAAAATTAGCCGTTGTTGCAGCTATAGCACTTGCCCTCTGGAATGACATTGCTCCCGACCCAGAGATCTGTTTGGCTCCCACTTTGACCATATTTAGATGAGTCCTTAAGCTCTGGCTCTTTTCCCAGACCTTGGGCTAGAGCGGGTTGCTTGATTTGTGAGATGGTGGTTTGTTTCTTCCAGGCACCCTTTGTCTATTGCATGGATCGTTTTACTTCAAATTGAGTGTATCGTACGCCACCCTGGGTTGTAATGCAATAACATTACATTTTACAAATTAAATTAAAGTCCGTACCTCCGAAAAATGCTCTGGGAGGCTTTGTCCATTTTCCTTGGCAACGGACTGCACAATCTGCAAGGCCTTCTTGCCTTTTTTGCGAGTGATCAGCCACCGTGGAGATTCAGGGACCAGCCTGCCAAAAAGGAGAGACCAATGAGGAAGAGTTGGCAACTGTCAGCAGGTTACATTTATTGCCTGCAAGAATGCCAAAACTTCATCAGCATCTTAATGAGTTCTTAGGCCTTTCAGTTCTTTCCTGGCACTCCGAGTTTCCTTCTCCCTCCTGAAAACTTCTTTTGCTGGGGAAAATGACTCTTGCAAACCTGGCCGCTTCAACCCCCTCCCCTGCTTTTTGGAATATCCTTCCAGAAGCTTTCGTACTCTTTTGTGTTAGTTTGGTTGAGATTGTTAATTATATTTTTTCTGAGCCAATAAATGACATTGCATATGATAAGGAAACAAGAGGTCCAGCGCAATTGAACTCAGTGAAACTAATGAATCAAATCATTCCAACAGTAAGCTAGAAGTTGTTATTGATTATTAGGTGACTCATACCCATAATCTGATGGCTCTGAAATTCTACCTAGGGCAGGGGTAGGCAACCTTGGCTCTTTTATGACTCGTGGACTTCAACTCCCAGAATTCCTGAGTCAGCATGGCTGGCTCAGGAATTCTGGGATTTGAAGTCCACGAATCATAAAAGAGCCAAGGTTGCCAGGAATTCTGGGATTTGAAGTCCACGAGTCATAAAAGAGCCAAGGTTGCCTATCCCTGCCCTAGGGCTTACAAACACTTTATAATCAACAAGTTTGATTATATGCAATCAAGTGTGTGTCAAGTCCTTGTGATCATATAGATAGTTTCTCTAGATGTCTATAGAGATTCTCAGTCATCTAGGTCACGGTTGTCCCAAAGATGCTTTCTTTCAAGAGGCAACTGGACTTTCTTGTTTTTCTTTGAAGACACTTCGCTTCTCATCCAAGAAGCTTCTTCAGCTCTGACCAGATGGTGGGTTTGATCTAAGTCTGTGCCTCAAGTGAGATCTCTGAGTTGATTTGTTTAATGATTCTTGGCTGTGCTTTTCTCAGAAGTTTACTCCAATATCAATGTTCAAAAGCATAAACTCTTTTTCTATCCTGCTTCTTCACTGTCCAGATTTCACTTCCATAAAAGAAAACTACTTCCATAGAAGAAAATGGGGAAAAAAACATTGTTTCCATGGTTCTAATTCTGTGGATATAAGATACATCCCAACATCTGAATATATTTTCCATGGCCTTCATTGCTACTATATCAATTGCTAGTCTGCAGCATATTTCTTAACTACTAGTTTCTTTCTCTCTTGATAGATGATCTTAGAAGATTGAAGAATAATAACCACTTCAGTATCTTCATTGTAAATCTTAAACCTGATTGCTGTACCTGTTGTCATGAATTTGGTTTTCTTTATATTTAAACGTACTTCCATTTTTATTAGGTATTAGGATTGTTTTAAACTGATCTCATTAATTATCTTATTAAGTACAGCAATTATATTAATAGAATATAATCATGGCATAGTAAGGATGATGATTTATGGCTATTCATTAATAATGATAACCATTATTTTTATAGATTTCAAACTTATATAAATTAATAGTCTATATAACAACTCCAAAATATAAGTCAGTATTATTGTTGCTCCCATAATGTAGATGTCATAAGAGCTTATCTAATGACTGAGATTTAGACAGAGAAATTGTCTTAATCACGACACAAAAATGATTCTCAGCTTATTACAATAACTCATTTTAGCTTTCCTCCATCTAGTGCCATTAATAAGTGTTTGACTCATGATTTTCATAATTTTTTGGATGTGCTTCTCTGAAGATACATTGAGAGTTCAACTTCTAGAAAAGACTAAGTTGGGAAAGGCTCTGTTGTAAGAAACAGCTGCTATTTGCATTAAATAGGACTCATCATGAATGCATGAAAAAATAATTGTGGGGGTGGGGGAGAAAAGGAAAGTAATGGTAGAGTTACCAGTAATATAACAGGAAAAGAAAGTTGGGAAGTGTGGTAACTAGTTGAATCCCCTGCCATGTGGGAATCACATAAGCAATTCCAGGAAGAATCACAACTCCGAGTGTGAAGAACATCTGTATTACAATTCCAACGACCCGTCGGTGATCTGAACCAACCAGCTCTGTTACTGAATTGACCAAAAGACAAACAAAAAACTTTGAAACTTTGAAAGAAAACAAGAGAGCCATTATAAAAAATCATAGCTGAAGTAATAGCACATTTTTTTCCAGCGTCTTATGTCAGCCATCCCCAACCTTTATGGCTTGGCAGCCTGGGAGAGGGAGATGGGAACCGGCCTGCGCAAGCAGTGGGCTGGCACTCATGTGCACATGTGCACCCGCCTACCACTTGCGCAAGTCAAGCTGTGCTTCCAGCAGAAAAAAATAGGAAACCAACCTTCATCAGAATGATGCTATAGCAAATTCTACAATAAAATCCAATTCAGCAAAGCTCCTTCAATAAAGCTATTCGGCTTCTGGGAAACAACGGAAAAAACACCATGCCTTACCCAATACAAAGCTTGTCATCCAGGTTCCCTTTCCAAAGATTCCTTGTAGAAAGCGAAATATTGAAAATACAATAATGTTTGGTGCAAAAGCCACTATTAGGCCACATAGTCCTGCCCCAAAGCAAGAAAAGAGATAAATGGTGATTCTGCCAAATCTGTCAAGGGAAGCAAAATAAATGAATAAATAAAGAAGAAATGGAGCCAAGAGGAGCCAAAGATAACTTTAAAAATCACTAGTGAAATTTCTGTTCTTCCCCCAGATTATAGACACTCTACTAGGTTTGCCCAGATACATTCAGTTACAAGCTCCACAATCTTAATCAACGTGGTTCATTGCTACTCCCTTTATTAGATTAACTTCTTAGGTTGTTTCATAAAACTATTTGGGAATATCTTCTGCATAAACATGCATAGGATTCTGTTACTGCTATAGAGCTAGATCTTCTAAAAATGAATAATTCTTAGTTGAATGCTAAGGTATCTCACACCAGTTCTACTCCTTCCACGTATTAATTACTGCAACATCCTGGGTGTGTGCACATCTTTGGAAGAGATCAGATGTTTCATCACTGATTGTACTAGTGAAGATAAGTGCCTTAAAATGATTACACTCTTAAACTGTAAGAAGTTGGAGATTGGGGATGTGAAAATTACATCCATTCTTCTACCTATGAATGATTGTAATTAACACTATTTATCATACAAGGAGCACAGTTTGTTGGAAGTTTTTATCCTTTCGTATTTTAGTCAAATACTCAAAAGCTATTTATTTTGTTGTTGCTTTGGGCCTTAAGGGTTCAAAATTATGACTTGGGACCTCTGAAAACGATGAAAACACAGTCAGCAGTCCCAGAATGACTAGAAGCACTGCCAGACATTAGTAGAATGACTAATGCCACACACTATGACAGTCAATAAATCCCTAAAAACATTTTGTTTTGCCATCTTTGTTACCTTTTGGTAGCCCACATCTCTTAGATCAGGGAAGGCTTTGGAACAAGAGACTAGAGTCAAAGTGGACAAAACTTTGACAAAAGCTTATGCAGCATCATAATCTTGCTTAATTCTACTCATCTATATTTAAATACTTGTAGCTGTCAGAACAAGAGCCAGAAAAGCAGACCATCTGCTTTATGTCTGAATTTGCCTCCAGAGTGTGGAAATCTCTGTCCATCAGCCAGATCAGAGGTGGGCAACTATGGCCCTTTTATGACCTGTGGACTTCAACTCCCATCAAGATGTAAAGGGGCCATAGTTGCCCACCCCTGACTAGGATAATGCTTGGATACTTTGGTTTCTTAGCAAACTGCAATGGGCAGAAACCACGCTTTTCCCTATTTGAACAATAAAGAAAAATACGTTTTATTGCAAAACGTGAGTGCAAGCTTTCAACGCCCTTCCCTCAAGTTTGAGTGTGAGGGAGGGAAAGAGGAGCATGCAGTACACACAGGTGGTCCTCGACTTACCATC